GTGGGATCTGAGTCCACAGGGCTGCAGCCCCTCACGCACGCGCGGGAGGGATCTGAACTTGACAGATGCCTTCCATAAGCCGGCTCCCCGGGTGGGCGGAGCGGATCCCCCCAGGGCGCCTTTTCCAGGCCTCCCCAGGGCGCCGGGTCATCCCACACACACCTGCAAAGGACCCAGACCTGTGCCCCAAATGTTTCCCCATTTCCCTTTCTCCAGCTGTTAGGGAGCGTGATTGCTAAAGAGATGGTCAGTGCTCCCATCTGCCCCAGCAGCTTGGAGGCTCTCTTTGCCGCCTCCTCTCATAAAATGGGGTAGAGCCAGCCAGGGTGAGGCCTCAGCCTCCATCTCTGGGGTCAGGTTAGCCCACCTGACTCGGGCTTGGCTCAGATCCTGGCTCCCCCACCGCGGGACCTTGGGCACGTTGCTTACCCTCTCCCCAGCTCAGTTTCCTCACCTGTGAACCGGGATAATTAGACCTCCCTCACCCTGTTGTGTGGATTCTTGAGGTCATGTGCACTCAGGACCTGACACAGCTCTGGATGCCCGGTTTTACTATTTTTATGGGTCTCTTAAAGCATTTCTACATTACCTTTGTTTTACAAATCCTCTCTCCTCTCAAAATCTACAGTGGGGAAGGTTTTATTTTATTTTAATTCCTTTATTGATTATGGTGTCACATAATTGTCCTCATCCCCCCCCATTTCCATCCCAAACCCCTCCCCACGTATGCCCACCCCCTGTTGTTCATGACCTCTGGTTAGGCTTTTATGCATGCACACAAGTCCTTTGGTTGATCTCTCCCCTTACTTTTTTTTCATTAAAAAAAGCACCTTTAGTATGTCCCTTACATTTTTTTTGCCAAGCCTGAGGACCCTGGCTCGGTCCCAAGGCCTTCCTCAGAGAACCCCAAGTTTGGGCAGCCCAGCCCCACCGGGCGGGATGCCTCCCTGCAGGCTGGCTGCTGCAGCGGCTTGTCTGCTTTTAGTGTTGTTCCTGAAAGTGATGTTGTCTGGGCCTGCAGGCCTCCACAGCTCCCGCCGGCCTGCCCTCCCTGCATACATTAGCCTTAATGTATTCTCTCCTGAATACTCATCATATTAAGGGGCCCCGCTAGATACCTTGCTCGAAATAAATTTTATGGGCATACATCCTCGCCCTCATCCCCGGGGCTGTGCAGTGGGGAGGAGAAATATAGCCACGGTGTTCCTCCCTCCCGGCAAGGCCAAACAACAATTAGGTGGGAATTGGGGGCCTCTGGCCCCAGACCCAGGAGGTGGGGGTGGGGTGGGGGGAGGGAGCAGGCACACCCCCACCAGGGCTCGCCCAGCACCCGGAGGGCTGTTCTCTGTCTAGTTCTCCGAGGGTGAATTTGCCTCCGAAGGCCCAGCCCCCTGGCTCCCCATATGTGCCGGGGATTGAGGGGCTGGTTGGGGCTCACAGGTCCCTGCACCCCTTTGTCAGTAACCACTTCCCCGAGGCTTCTTGGTCAGCATTTCCCTCTCTTCTCCCTTGAAATGAGGCCAGAGCAGTCTTCCTGACACTCCTTTCCCCAAGCCCAGGCCCCGCAGCTGCAGGGACTGGAGGCGAATGCCAGCAGGAGAGACCCCACCCTCCGGCCCAAACCTTTAATTAAGATGCTCTTCGCTGGGATGTCTGCTCCCTGCACCCCTACCAGGACCAGGACGAGCTGCTCCTGCTGCCGGTTATCAGCTGTCACTCCTCAGCCTCACCTGTGTGTATCCACAGCTCTCGCCCACCCACAGCCTCCCCGGCCACTCTGGGGATCCTGATTGTTCCTGGAGAGAGGCAGGAGTGTTGTTGAGGGAGCAGCCCCCATAGCCTTGCAGAGCGGCTGTGTGATGTGGGTGCGCTCTGAGGCTCCGGGTGAGGGGTGAGGGTCATGACTCTGGGAAGATGCAATGAGATCCAGCCAGCGAATGTGGGTTCTAACTTTCCTCTCCCCTCGGCCTCAGCAGCACCACCTCTACCACCTGATCGCTGCAGGGATCTCCTAGTGATACAAGCCTTTACTGAGCTCCAGCTGTATACACGGTGATTGGTTTAGTCTTCACAAAGAACCTACGAGGCACTAGTTCATCGTCACACCCTCCCCCCCACTCCCCCCTTCTCCCGTCACCGCAGCTTTTACAGGCGAGAAAACGGAGGCAAAGTAACTTGTTGAAGGTTATGAAGCAGGGCCAGGAATCAAACGCAGGCATCCAACTCCAGAATCCATGGTCTTAACTGCGCGCGCGCTCTCCCCCCTTCTCCGATGGAGGTTCCGGTAGTCATCCCGTGCTTAGCCCTTTGCTGGGCACATCGGGACTCCTTGGTAAGCAGTTGCTGGTTGAACAGTTTCTGTGTCACAGAGGAAACCTTTTGAGATTGGGGGGAAAAATCTCCATCCAACCTGGGGCCGGTAGCCAGCGTCCAGTGTTCACGTGTTTTACCAAGTGTGACTCCTGGTAGTTTTCATGGTGTATTTTGGTCTGAGAATGGGGCCAAAGGGCAAGGCGTCGGAGGGGTCTGACTTTCGGGCGAATGTTGGTGGCTGCCGGAGCCTTGGAGGGAACAGGCTGGGGTCGGGGTGTCATGGGGTCCAGGATCGGCAGGTGTGGACAGGGCTGGTGATGACCCTTGAGTGCCTGTCCCACAGCCCGTGTGTAAGTTTTAGGTACAAATGACTTCATACTTGAGAAAGCGTTCTCCTTCCTTCCATAGTTTAAATGTGTTCGATTTTCTCCCATTGAGGCTAATTCCCCGTATGTTACCACTTTAGAATTATGTCAACAACCAACAGACATTCGTGAGAGATTCGGTTTTAGGAGGTTTGTTGACAGTTTGGAATGTGCGGGGGGGGGGGGGGGGGGGGGGGGGGGACTAGCGGGGAAGTGTGCCCCGGTGAGCTTCTGAGAGAGGGTGTGATCGGTGATCTATCCAGCGATTAACCTCTGTGGTGGTGCCTGTGTGCCAGGCACGGCGCTAGGCAGTGAGCTCACACAAGGCGGGAAGCGCTGGTGCTGCCCCCTGCGGATCCCCTCCTTCTGATGGGAAGACACTGTGTCAACAAACAGTTACCAAAGGTCCTGTTTTCAATAGAGGCGAGAGACACCAGCCAAGTGCTTGCACTTTCATGTGTTTTTGTTGTTAATTTGTTGCCTTCCTTTTTTTGGTGGTGGTGGTGGTGGTGGTGGTGGTGGGGCGGGGGTTCTGTTTACTCATCCAACCTCAGAAGCCTGACCATCTTATCTGTTTTGAAAATGCTTTATTGACTCAAAATCCTTTGGTAAAGATGAAATGGCAGCAAAATCAGACCTTGGACAGAAAGCCACCCAGAGCGGGAAGCACAGTGGTAGGGGGTTGAGTTGCCCACAACAGAATCCACTGGCACTATTGACGTGGAAATGGCATGAGGTAGCTTTCAACTCAGTGGAGCCATGTGTGGGCCAGCCTTCTGGGAGGAACTCCCAGCCCCCAGAATCCCCCTGCCTCTGCCATGACTGAGCAGGACATCACAGGCCCCAACCCCCGAACCCATAGCCTCTGCATGCTCCACGTCTGCACCAGGGAGCCTGCCGGATGGTTGTGCCTCCATTTAACTTCGTTCTCAATTCAGGTCCCTCCCCCACCTTTTGTTGTTGTTGTTGTTGTTGTTGTTTTTTTTTTTTTTTTTGTTAATCCTCACCCAAGGATATTTTCCCATTGCATTTTAGAAAGAGTGGAAGGGAGGGAGAGAGAGACATGGGTCATTGCCTCTCTTTTGTGCCTTGACCAGAATCGAACCCAGGACCTTTCAGTCCATGGGCCGGTGCTCCATCCACTGAGCCAAACCGGCTGGGGCCAGGTCCCTTGTAAGTCATCTGATTGGCAGACATTTTTTTTTAATTTAAAAAAATATATTTTATTTTTTTACAGAGAGGAAGAGAGAGGGATAGAGAGTTAGAAACATCGATGAGAGAGAATTATTGATCAGCTGCCTCTTGCACACCTGCCTCTTGCACACCCCCTACTGGGGATGTGCCCGCAACCAAGATACATGCCCTTGACCGAAGTCGAACCCGGGACCTTTCAGTCCGCAGGCTGCCGCTCTATCCACTGAGCCAAACCGGTTTCGGCTGGTTGGCAGACATTAGATCACAATGGGAACCTGAGCTTCAAGGGAGCCTGGGCGCCCGGTTTCTGGTGTGTGGTCCGCAGCACAGGAAGGAAGGCACATGAGGAGGTCGCTGCTGGAGCCGGTCCATGGTGTCCGCTGCAGCTCATTGAAATGCTCTCAGGAGACTCCACCTCCACAGACCCTCCGACCCGGACCTCGCGCTCTGCTCACCCCGGCACAAGGCATTTGCTTTTTCCGCCAGATGGTCTCTCAGTCCGTGCCTAGGCAGGGCTCGCTTGGGCGACGATGCTTTTAACCCGGATTCCGCCCCGTAGCGAACATGCCATGGACACGGAGGAGAATGTGGCCGGGTCTTCCTGCTGGTTGTCTGTGGAATTGCAGCTGGTGTAACCCAGGTGAGCCGCTGCTGCTGGCCTTGTGGGGCCCTTAGAAACACAGAAGATAGCCCTGACGGTGGTTTGGCTCAGAGGATAGAGCGTTGGCCTGCGGACTCAAGGGTCCCAGGTTTGATTCCGGTCAAGGGCATGTATCTTGGTTGCGGGCACATCCCCAGTAATGGGTGTGCAGAGGCAGCTGGTTGATGTTTCTCATCAATGTTTCTAACTCTGTCTCTTTCCCTTCCCCTCTGTGAAAAGTCAATAAAAATACATATTTTTTTAAAGAAAGAAACACAGAAGATGCTTTTGGGCCAAAGACACCCAAAGCAAGACCAGCAAAGCATGGGTTGCACTTGCCATGTACGGCCTGTACAACCCTGGAGGCTGGCTTCTGGCCTCCTGACCACAGGGTGGGGCGTGGCGGGGAGGATGGGAAGGCTCCGGGCCCATCTGATGAGCGGTGCCCTGCGGAAGGCTCACGCTGCCCCTCTCTCCTCTCCCCGCAGAGATCCCCCAGTGCGCTGGCTGCAACCAGCACATCCTGGACAAGTTCATCCTGAAGGTGCTGGACAGACACTGGCACAGCTCCTGCCTCAAGTGTGCGGACTGCCAGATGCAGCTGGCGGACAGGTGCTTCTCCAGGGCCGGGAGCGTCTACTGCAAGGAGGACTTCTTCAAGTGAGTCCCGGCCGGGCACAGCCTCCTGTCCCTGTGGGTCTGTCTGCCTCACTTCATGCCGTCTGTGGAGAGGGGCAGGAGCTGGCGGTGGGGCGGGGTGGGGAGGGGGGGCAGGAGCTGGTGGTGGGGCAGGGTGGGGAGGGGTCAGGAGCTGGCGGTGGGACAGGGTGGGGAGGGGGGCAGGACCTGGCGGTGGGGCAGGGTGGGGAGGGGAGCAGGAGCTGGCAGTGGGGCAGGGTGGGGAGGGGTCAGGAGCTGGCAGTGGGGCCGGGTGGGGAGGGCGGTAGGTCTATCCTGGGGGGAAGTGAACCCTCCTGTGGAGAGGCTGCTCCTCTGTGGCCCCCCTTTGGGTCACCAGCCCCCTCACTGCCGGAAACCCCAGGGTCTCCACCTCACTTTGAGTGGCCGGGGAGCATGCCCCAGGGTGACTGAGACGGGTTCCTGCAAATCCTCTGTCTGGGAAGCTGGTGCCTCAGGGCTCTTGACTGTGTCATTCCTGCAGCTTTCAGAGCCTGTGCATGAGAGTCCCATCCCGATTCTGGTGAGGCTGCTGCCGGGCTTGGAGGCCTGGAGGAGTTGTCTCTCCAGGGCCGGCAGGCTCGTTTGGAAGAGGCCGTTTCATGTGCTGGTTAAGAGCCCAGTCCCTGCCTGGGTTTGAACCCACTAATGGATTGTATGCTTTCGGGCAAATGACTTCACGTCTCTGTGCCTCCGTGTGCTTACCTGTAAAGCGGGGCTGATAGTCCTGCCTCTTAGAGTTGTTCTTGCTTTGAACGAGTCAGCCTATGTGAAGCCCTGGGACCGTGTCTGGCCCCTGGGTGCTGGCTTCTTAAGGCTGCCTTGGGTTTTCATTCTGATGTCGGGCCCATCCGAAAAATTCCTGTTGGAGCTTTGGGTCAGGGTGAGGGTCCTCCTGGAATGTATTTCCGTGGCAGTTAGTCTGGACCTTCTGTGCCAGGATCTGTTCCCCGAGGCACTTAGGCGGGTGCTTCCGTGGACGTGGACCGGCTGAGAACAGCAAACAAGAACAGGAGGTGGGGGCTGTCCATCAGCGACGCGGGGCCCAGTGTGGGGGGCCCGTGGACGGGACTGGGACTGGGGGAGGCTCGCCAGGTGGGCAAGCCCCAGAGGCGGTGTGCATCCCTCAGAGATGGTGCGTTCTGGAGACAGGGAGGGAAACGCTGGCGCTGGAGCAAAACATGGTTCCTCCCAAACCCGCCCAAAGCTGACACTGTGGGGAGGAAGTCGTTTGGATGTCTGAGGATGGCAGCGACTTCTGTGCGATATGCGTTGGAAAGTACTTTAGAGCCAAAACCGGTTTGGCTCAGTGGATAGAGCGCCGGCCTGCAGACTGAAGGGTCCCGGGTTCGATTCCGGTCATGGGCATGTACCTTGGTTGCAGGCACATCCCCAGTAGGGGGTGTGCAGGAGGCAGCTGATCGATGACTCTCTCTCATCGATGTTTCTAACTCTCTATCCCTCTCCCTTCCTCTCTGTAAAAAATCAATAAAATATATTTTTTAAAAAGAATAGTACATTAGAGATCATCTTGATAACTGAGGCGGCCTGCATGGCCTGGGTTCAGAAGGCAGCACTCGTTGTCGATCGGCATCACACTTTGGTGAGGTATGCACTGCTGTCTCTGTGTGCACATGTGTGTGCGCGCGTGTGTATCTGTGGGGGCAGTAGCTGGCATGCCCTACAGATCCTCCAGCAGAGAGATGGGCCTCTGGTTCTTCAGCTAAGCCTTTCTTCCCTCTCTTTCCCCGCCTGGGACCTTCCCCCTGATTCCTTTGTTCTGGCATTTACGCAGTTCCATTCCCTCCACCCGCACCCGTCCTCAGAGGGCAGCAAGCATCTGCCTGTCCTCTTCCCTCAGTGGTGTCCTGGCCAAGCACCACGCTGTTCTTGCGGACCCCTGAAGGGGTGGATTTCACCGTGTGTGTGTGTGTGTGTGTGTGTGTGTGTGTGTGTGTGATGTAACTGTGCACCTGTGAACAAGAACGTGTGGGAGGGAGGATCTAACTGAGGAAGCTGGGGGGAGGGTGAGTTGTCCCTGCTCCCATAGCCAGGGCACCATCTTCCAGTTTCCCCCTTACCTGCGGGAAGCCCAGTGAGCTGGGAGGGAGGGGACAGGGCTGGTGGTCCTGAGGTGGCCCTGGATCAGACCTCTGGCTGGTCCAGCCTGGCAGGGCAGCCCGTGGGGTGCAGGCAACGCCTGTCAGGGCCACAGAACCAGGGCTTTGTCCACGGAGAAGTTCTTTTGACCCCAGAAGCACCCGCGAACACCATCTGATGTTTTAACCTTGACTGGCTGGTTCCGGGTTTGGGAAAGGGCGGTAGCAGCTTGGGGGCAGTGTTGGGTTTGGGAGAAGTAGTGATGAGGAGAGAGGGTCCCCCCAGACCCAGGAGAGGCTCAGAGAGAAGGCTGGGGGTGGAGAGATTAGCACCGGTTTAGGGCCACAGGCTCTTGACCAAAAGTAACAAGGACACTCAGCTGGTACCCTGCCTCGTGGCCTCCCCAGGCCGTGGCTCTCATTTGGAAAGTTCCCAGGCCTTGCTCAGCAGCAACCTCCTGACTGATCCCCCACCCCCTCTACCTCACAGACTAGCATCCTACCTCACAGCTCACGTCCTGACCCCGCTCCCCCAGCTGCTGAGAGGACTCCAGATGCATTGCACCACCAGAGCCTTCTGCTCTGTGCCCACCCTCCCTCCCAGTCCTTGGCTCACTGCTTTCCTAGGTATGGGCCACCCCGCGGCAGGATGACACCCCTGCCCAGGCACTCTCTGCATTTTCCCACCTCCACACTCTGGCTCAGGCTGTTTCATCACCCGGGAATGATGTTCATTCTTTCAAGGTCTCCCCATCTTCCATGGCCGAGAGTCAGCTCACCAGTGGGCGGGAGCCCTGGGAGGCATGGCCGCCCTGTCCCTCCTCCCTCCTGGTGACGCAGCGGGAATGGCCTTCTGTTGCTCATTCCTCATGCACCTGCTCAGCTTCTTGTTGACTTGAGGAAAAAGCTTACTAGTCCATCATTTTTCTGTCCTCCAAATAGTCCTTTGGCCCCAAACCTTGCCCATCGGTTGTCAAAGAGGAGATTACACAGTGAACTTACAACCAGTTTTGTTTTGTTTTTCTGTCCCCTGCACGGTGTCCCGCGAGTGTTGGAGGCCCAGGCTGCCTGGGAGATGCACAGACCCCTTATTTAGCACCGTTCTTGTCCTTGTGCCACAGTACCCACTCGCCCTACTTCTTAAAACGGCCCAGTCTCGAGGCTGGAGCCTTTTGTAAAGCGGGGGAGCTGTCCACAGAGCCAGTGCTGATTCCAGGTCATTAACCCTGTGATTGGGTGCTATGTGGAGGGAGTGGTTCTCCCCACTGCCAATGAGGGTCAATCTGATATGAAGATCAGGCAGCTCTGAGGCCCCCCAGGGAGGACGTGTGGGTCAATAGGCAGGTGGGGCCCCGCCCATTCTTTGGGACCCTGGCTGTTTGTTACAGGGAGGACCGTGCCTGTTTGGTTCAGGGAGGCACAGCTGCAGGCAGAGCCACAGTCCTCGGTGAGGACAGGGAGGAGGGGAGTGACTCAGGGTCGGAGTGGCTTCCCCTCCCACTTCCCACTTGGGCTCAGGCTGTGACTTGGCCACAGAGCTGGGTCCCCTCTCCTCATTACAGCGCATTAAGTGTCCCCAGGCCCCTGCTCTCCCATGGCACCCTGGGGCACAGGTGCTGTGGGATCCTGCGAGCAGAGAGAACAGTGGCGGGGAGGAGGAGGAGCAGGGCAGTCTCTGGGACCTCAGCTCCCTCCCTCATCTCAGACTGGCTGCAGGAACTGGTTCAAGTGCTGGGTGCCCTCAGGCAACTTCCTTGGCATCTCTGAGCGCCAGGAGAAAGGGAAATGCTAATGGTGGCTGCTTTAGAAAACTTGGCATGCTGGAGCATCTCACTAAAGGGAGTTTGTTTTGTTTTGTTTTGTTTTTAATCATCAGAGTGGTTTGGGAAATCCAAACTCTGCACCTTGAGCCTCAGACAGCTTTCAGTTGTGGGTTCGGAAGATGCCTGGTCAGAGCCAGGGAGAATCCCTTCTCTGTGTTCCTCAAAGCCAAGGGGTGGATTTCACCCCTTGAAGAAAAGAATCACGACTGTAATGTGAAGAGTGGCCCCCTGGATGTGTGTCAGATCTCAGAAATGGGGTGGGGGGGAGAGCAGGAGATTGGCTTCCACCTCTGGGAGATGGGGTAATGCTGACGCCTGGCAGCAGAGGGCGATGTTGCTGTGTCACAGACAAAGAGGTATGGTGGGAGGCTGTACTCTGTGGTTGTTGCATTTTTCTTTGTGGGGAGGATGGCGTTGAGCTCTCTCTTGTTCAGTAACGCTGGCTGATTGGTGCTGTTGTTTGCTGTTGTTACTCCTCAGGCTATTGGCTCCCCTTTCTCCAAAGGAAATGAGATTCTGAGCCTGAGAGGAGAGCCGTGTGGTTTCAGGGCCATGCGGTTTCAGTCACAAGCCGAAGCACGCCAGCTCCTTGCACTGCATTTGCTAAGCAGGTCCTTTCTGGACTGTGTGCCCAGCATGTCGTGGGTCCCCTGTCTCCTTGCAAAGGGTCTGGGGAGGGCATGGGTCTGAGAGTAGGGCTTCTGGGTCCCCTCCCGGTCAATGACTGGGTCCCGGGAGGAGCCCGGCAGCTCCCTTGCTCTGAAGTGCAATGAAGACAGGACAGGCTGTGTGCTGCTGCAGGTACTGGCTCAATGCTGGGTGCCCTTAGGCAACTTCCTTGGCATCTCTGAGCTCCAGTGTCGTCTTCAGGAAAGGTGGGCATGCTCATGTGGCTGCTTTGGGAAAGCTGGCACCCTGGAGCACCTCTCAAAACGGAGGTGTTTTACGGGCAGAGTCGTTTGGGGAACCACTCTGCTTGCTGAGTCCTTGTCCTGACTTTTACGAGCTGTTTGTCAGTAAACCAGTGAGTAGGCCTTTCTGAACCTATTCCCTTACCTGT